TCAGAAATCGTGGTTAAAGGTTCAATGCTTCAGCAAGGCGTAGGTAATGCGTGATAATTGCACGATAGGAAACAAAATTAAAACCGCTCGTAATGTTTTTTTTACTAAATTAACAGTATGCGTGAAAAGCATGCGGAAAGACCAAAGTCGACCAACATAAACTCCTATTGGTCTGCAAAGGATGCCTATAGACTAGTAACAATATAGAACAGCTTTTGGTTAACATAATCAGGAGAGTTTTTAGATAGGCGGGAATTCAACCTACTGAACGTTTAGAAGTAGTACTTTATTATTTATTACGGACAAAAGCGGCCTCACAAGAAAGCCCTACCATCTATTTAGTGTTTACTTATCGTCGACTTATTTGTCCACTAGCCCCCTCCGCAGGCGATGTCTTCCCTGCGCATCTACCAGACGCCGCGCTCCTGGCAGGAATTCGATCTGGTCAGTTCCTGCGCGGAATCGTTCGAGTCTCGCGTTTCCGTGCTGCTACCGAGGCTGTTGTAGCCTTAACTGAGTAAGTCCGTTGTGTGCGTTTCCTGCTCCCTCTTTGAGTAGAAATCATAACTAATTGGAGCCGAATCTTGTTGGCCCCTGTCCTTTCGTCAGTTTCGTGCATAAATAACAGAGAAAGCACCTTCCGTAACATGGATCGCTGAACATTCTTTCAATACCAGCTCAGAACTGACGGAACAATGGACTTGAGTCTCCAGGGTATAGCGTTGGACTCTTAAACGTCAAAAGAGTCCAGGTCCCAATCCAGCTGGCCAAAACCGGTCATCTTTATCTCCCCCCTTTCTTTGTTGTTGTGCATAATTTATATTGTTTTATTGTCATCAGACGCTTGCTGCACATGCAAGTAAGAACAAGCCTCTAATATCAGCACTTTTATTTGTCACGGCTGCGATCATGCCTCATCTAGCCGGCTTCGATTATGTCCCCGATGGTACTTCTCCACACATGATGGTCCGTGGTAGCAGGCCCGAATAGTTCAATTCATTCTCTTCGCCAGAGGCCGAATACCGAAGGTCCAAGGACCACTTCCATGCCCTGACGGGCGAAGCCGAGTCATGTTTTGAGTCGGCCCCCTCTTCGCGGTCTCCAGAGTAGGTAACGGTGTCGGACTGTGAGAGCAGTAACCCCGAGGTCGTGCAGCGGACGACGAAGAACGTCTCCAAACCGCTTCAGTTGTCTTTCTCGGATGGTCTGAGATATTCTTGCGATGTAGTCGCAGCGAATGCAGGCTGTCTCATTTGAGACGAACTCGGTACACTTCACTCGAAGGATGGTCCTCAAACAGTGATGGTCAAATACCTCAAGTTTTCTCTCACGCGCATAGCTTAGCATTCACAGCCGTAGAGAGCGGCAGACTGAACGTATGCACGATGCACGCGAACCGTAGTGACAATATAAATATCGTGTCGGGTTCATATACACTTTCTAAGGCTTGAGAAAACTCGACGAGCTGCATCGATTTGGGAGACAGTGTCATCCTTACTCTGTCCATTCGGCGGCAACTTCGCTGCGAGGTATTTTAAACTGTCTACTTCTTAAAGTTGACAGACGCTAATCTCGAGGGGTGCCTTCTCGTGGAAGAGAATGCAGCATGAAAACACTTAGTCTTCCCAACGTTTATGGACAAACCTACCGATTTATCGACCTCGTTCATCCATTACA